GGGGAGGGAAAGGGAAGGAAGGAGGGAGGGAGGGAGAGAGACGGAAGGAGGGAGGGAGGGAGGGAGGAAGGAGAGAGACAGGGAGGGAGAGAGATGGAAGGAGGGAGGGAGAGAGATGAAGGACGGAGGGAGAGAGAGAAGGAAAGGGAGGGAGAGAGGGAGGAAGGAGGGAGGGAGAGAGAGGGAAGGAGAGAGAGAGAAGCAATTGCCATTTGTCTAGTCCAATTCGCCTGTTGCACCAACTATACTCCTGGCTCCGGGTTTCTTGTGGCAGACACCTCTCTCCCCGTTCCTTGTAGGTGGGGAATATTTCAGCGATGAGCAGATGAGGGGCCGTGACCCCCTCCTTTACGAGCAATACATCGGACAGTATCTGAGCGATGAGGAGCTGCAGGAGCTTGGCCAGTGTAAGCTGGAGGCTTCCTGCTCCCTCTCCGGCGTCCTCCTAGATTCCTACCAGGAGCAGGTGATCCAGCAGCGGCTGCTGGTCCAGCAGGAGCTGGAAGACGCCTGCCTAGAGGAGGAGGAGGAAGACAGTGACCAGGAGAGCGAAGGTTGGTGAAACAAGGAAGTGGGATCTAGTGGCTGGATCTCAAGAGGCCCAGGCCCTGCAGAAGACTGAGAGCAGCTGAGTTTGCTTCAAAGGGAATTGTGGAGAACCCGCTGGATCGGTGGCTTTGCGGGAAAATGGGGAACAATGGATAGGATTTAATGTGCAGTTTAACTTAATTGTAAGTTAAATACAATTTAATCCATTTTTTATTCTTCTCCCGAAAGATTAGGAGAAGCTGCCTCTACTACCCTAAGTAGTAGGAGAGCCAGTTTGGTCTAGTGGTTAAAGCACCAGGCTAGAAATTAATTATTATTATTAAATTATTATTATTAAATTAGATTTATATCCCGCCCTTCTCCTTGCGGACTCAGGGCGGCTGACAATCGATTAAAAATACACAAATGACAATTACAGGATTAAAATTAATTAAAAAGAAATATTTAAGTATAGTCTAATTAAAATATAATTAAAACCCCTCTAAAAATTACCCTAGGCCAGTCCTGCAAGCTGGAACAACCNGCCAGCCGGCACTGTCTGGCCGACGGCACCCTGAGGAGACCCACTCTGTGGGATTAAGGGACTGTGAGTTCTAATCCTGCCTTAAGCATGAAAGCCGGCTGGGTGACTTTGGGCCAATCAATAGGGGACGGTGAGTTCTAGTCCCGCCTTAGACATGAAAGCTGGCTGGGTGCCTTTGAGCCAATCCCCAGGAGACGGTGAGTTCTAGTCCCGCCTTAGACATGAAAGCCGGTTGGGTGCGTTTGAGCCAATCCCCAGGAGACGGTGAGTTCTAGTCCCGCCTTAGACATGAAAGCCGGTTGGGTGCCTTTGAGCCAATCCCCAGGAGATGGTGAGTTCTAGTCCCGCCTTAGGCATGGAAGCCAGCCGGGTGACTTTGTCAATCAATCACTTGGCAGGATTGTTGTGGGGAAAATAGGAGTCGGAAGGTGTGTTGGATATCTTTGCTGCCTAATATCCCACCTAATAAAGTTGGGGTACAAATATATATAAAAAAATAAGGAAGTCATTTAAAATAAAAACAGAGAAGGGCAGGGCGTTCCTAGCCCTGGAAGAGACGCTGAGCATCCCTCCTCCTGTTCTTCCCTCTTTAGACCAGGCATTGAATCCTGACGCAGACGAGTGGGTCCCCGATGCAGAGGAGAAGGCTTTCCTGCGGGAAGAGTTCACCAGCCGGATGTACCAGCACTTCCTGGAAGGCAAGGATCTGGACTTCAACTACAGGTAAGGCGAGGACTCAGGACAGGACGGATCTCTGCAGGAGTGGCCTGCACCCCTAACACTCAGCTGGATTTATGGATCGTGCAAGCCAAGCCCAGGTAACTGAGCACACACATCCCCCAATTCTGAATTACTAGCAGTCAGGAAGCCTAACCTAGTTTTTTACACATTGACCGCGTGATAGGGCCATTTGTCTTAACTGACCGTAATTGCCTTAAATGTCCCGCCTCCCCTTGTTTGCACTCCAGTTCCACAACTTCTCTCTCTCCCCTCCTTATCCTTCCTCTCCTTCCTGGTGTGTAAAAAACTAGGTTAGCAAGGCTTATAACAGATCTTTCTCCACCCCAATGCTTTACTCTGAAGACGCTGGCAGTGGACCAGCGAAAGCTAAGTTTGTTTTAACATTGTAAATAGTTGTTTTTATTGTTTTAAAATTTTCAACAATAAACAGCTGATTTATATATAGCTATTTCGAGCTCCTTAGCTTTCATCAGCCATCATCAGATTTCTCTTCCCATATTTGGGCCGACCGGGTGCATCATAAAAACACACACACAAACACATATATATTATCCTGGTGTTCGTTTTTTCTATATTTTATTGATATATATATTTCCTGACAAGCAAAGTTGATGGAGAATGCTGGATTTGCTTAATGACTGCATGATTCACTTAACAACCGTGGTGATCTGCTTAGCAGCTGGCTCAAGAAAGGTCCTACAACGGGGCAAAACTCAAACTTAACTGCCTTGCTTCGCAACAATAATTTGGGGCCCAGTTGTGGCCATCAGACAAGGACTGCCTGTGGTGAACGCTGATCCTTTTTCCTTCTCTCCTTCATCCCCTGACTTCCCCACTCCTCTCTCAGTGAAGTAGACGAGAACCCGGATTTTGATAACCTCGACATTGTCTCGAGAGACGAGGAAGAGCGTTATTTTGACGGGGAGGAACCCGAAGTCGCTGACTCTATGGAAACGGAAGAGACGGAACGAAGACCGTAGATCCTTGGGAGGGAGGGAGGCGAAGGCACCTGGGCACTCTGCTCCTGGTGAGAGGGCAGGGAAATGTACATTTGTGATGCCCCATCGTAGGTTTTATTTCTCTTGGCTGAACTGAGTGGAAGAATCAGCTTCACCTTCACAGCGACGGAGTGTTGACCCCGGAACTCGTTGCCGAAGGACGTTTGGGAGGCCCACGCACATTTTGTGCCCTCGCCGGTGGGGAGATTCTCACCTTGCTTCCTGAATTCTTCGGAGATTGGGGAGAACAGAAAGATCAGAGAATGCCAGTCTGGGTTTGACCTGCCCCATCCCTTTATTTGGACACGCTCCTTGTGGAGATCACAGGCACGTTCCTTTCCCGGGTCTGCATTTTCCCCTGGACTTAGTAAGTCGGTGTTTTTTTTCAACCTTGGCAACTTCCAGAGGGGTGGACTTCCCCATGCTGACTGGGGAACTCTGCGAGTTGAAGTCCACCCCTCTTAAAATGGCCAAGGTTGAGAAACACTATTTTAACTAATCAGTCTCCATTAGAGACATCGCTGGCCTCAAGCTTGCCCGCGCCCCAAATCAAACAGCCCTGCCACCCCTGCCAGTATTCTGCTATTGGGATACCAAGTGTGTGTTTTCCAGCATTTGGAAGTGAACAATAAAATCGTTAAATAAGGCTTGGCGTCATTTAGCGGTTTCTTCAGAATGCGCAGGAAGTTCGCCGCTTCGGTAAACTCTCCCATTAGGACCCCGTTGCTCCCAGTTATTGAAGTCCAACGTTGTGCACGATGCACAGTCTCTGTCTCTAAAGGGGTATCGTTGAAAAAACAGAAGGGGGAACCTTTTGGGAACTTGTATAGAGTTCACACCAATTCTGGAATTAGAAGAGTTAGTTTGGTTAAGGCACCAATGTAGAAACTGCGAGACAATGACGAAAACCGGCTGGGTGATTTTGGAACAATCACCAGGTGACGGTGAGTTCTAGTTCTGCCTTAGGCCTGAAAGCTGGCTCAGTGACTTTGGGTCAATCACCAGGAGACGGTGAGTTCTAGTTCCGCCTTAGGCCTGAAAACCAGCTGGGTGACTTTGGGCCAATCACCAGGAGACGGTGAGTTATAGTTCTGCCTTAGGCATGAATGCTGGTTGACTTTGGGCCAATCAGTAGGAGACGGTGAATTCTAGTTCTACCTTAGGCCTGAAAGCCGGCTGGGTGACTTTGGGCCAATCTCCAGGAGATGGTGAGTTCTAGTTCTGCCTTCGGCATAAAAGCTGATTGGGTGACTTTGGAACAATCACCAGGAGGTAATGAGTTCTAGTTCTGCCTTAGGCGTGAAAGCTGGTTGGGTGACTTTGGGCCAGCCCCTCTCTCACAGCCCAGCCCACCTCACAAGGTGGTCGTTGGGAAAACAGAAGGAGGAAGCTGTGTTGGATATGTTTGCCACCTTGAATTACTTACAGAGAAATAAGGGATAAAAGTTTTAATAAATAAACTTGAGAGGAACTGAAGTCCTTCTAAGGCAGCAAGGAACTTGCCCTTACAGCTGAAAAGACTTGACCAGGATACAAACTCTACCATGTTCCCTCTTCTGAGGAACTAAACTGGCTTGTAAGAGCAGCTCTCCAGTTTTAAATCTGGTTTGGAAGCAAGGTGTGTATAAGTGAGCAGATTTCAGCTGTCTGCCCAGCTAGTTGTCCGCTTACGACAACCCACACTCTGGAGTCCCAAGAGGGCTGGCAAAATCAAGCATCCTTCTCTGTATCAGCTGAGAATGCAGCCCTAAATCTAGGCTAACTTGTGTCGTCGATTTCTTAAATCCCATCATTGTCAGCTGCTTTGGATGGCTACGGCCAGGAGGGGGCAGCAAGTCTCCAGTAAACATCTGGATTCTTGGATCCAGTTTGGAAAAACTGCAGAAAAAAACACCTTCAAATTTGGCGTTACCCGTTTCTCTGCTGACCACTAACTGATTCTGGAGTTCCTTAGCTGACTGCGGCGATTTTAGGATTCAACCCCAAATGTGTTCCTAACCAACTAACCAAAAGAGAGAAGCAACCTAGATCTAAAGGCAAATTTCCTGAGAGTGGGAACTATTAATCAGTGGAACGACCTGCCTCCAGAAGTTGTGGCCTGCTCCATCACTGGAGGCTTTTGAGAAGAGACTGGACAGCCATTTGTCTGAAAAGGTATAGGGTTTCCTGCCTGAGCAGGGGTTGGACTAGATGACCTCCAAGGTCTCTTCCAACTCTAATGATGTTCTGTGTTCTAGTCCTAACATTTGGAGTAAAAAATCAAGAGAGAGGAGCGCATTTTACCGTACAGAATTGAAAGCACCTGAGAATGTGGAAAGTTTTTAGGCAAGAAAAAACAAATGTACAGGTATAGTATAGGGGGTACCTTGCTCAATAGTAGCAACTGTGAGAGGGATCTCGGAGTCCTAGTGGACAATCACTTAGATATGAGCCAGCCGTGTGCTGCAGCTGCCAAAAAAGCCAACACAGTGCTAGGCTGCATTAACAGAGGGACAGAATCAAGATCACGTGAAGTATTAATACCACTCTACAATGCCTTGGTAAGGCCACACTTGGAATAAGGCGTCCAGTTTTGGTCACCACGATGTAGAAAAGATGTTGAGACTCTAGAAAGAGTACAGAGAAGAGCAACAAAGATGATTAGGCGACTGGAGGCTAAAACATATAATGAACTGTTGCTGGAATTGGGTATGTCTAGTTTGAAGAAGAGAAGGACGAGGGGGGACATAATAGCAGTCTTCCAATATCTGAGGGGCTGCCCCAAAGAAGAGGGAGTCAAGCTGTTCTCCAAAGCCCCTGAAGGCAGGACAAGAAGCAACGGATGGAAACTAATCAAGGAGAGAAGCAACCGAGAACTAAGGAGAAACTTCCTGTCAGAACAATTAACCAGTGGAACAACCTGCCTCCAGAAGCGGTGAATACAAACAACAATCAAACAACAAAAACTGGAAGTTTTTAAGAAGAGACTGGACAGCCATTTGTCTGAAATGGTATAGGGTTTCCTGCCTGAGCAGGGGGATGGACTAGATGACCTCCAAGGTCCCTTCCAACTTTATTATTATTATTATTATTATTATTATTATTATTATTATTATTATTATTATTATTACTATTACTATTACTACTACTACTACTACTACTACTACTACTACTACTACTACTACTACACTAGAAGGATAAGCATGTGGGGAGTCCGGCAGAGCCTTCCCTGGAAGAAAATTCCAAAGAAATGTGGACACCGTCCCAGCAGACCCTGCCTCCCAGTTGCCACTGACTTCATCTTAGGCAACAAGGCATCCTGAAATGTTTTGGTCACATCCGAGTGACGCAACAGCTTCCCCTTTTCTCACCACAGAGGAATCTGACACTCATCGCTACAATTGATGTTATGGTTAGTGCTAACTGGGCTTGCATTTGCAAGAACCGCCGTCCCCTGCCTTCAAGGTATAATGGCCCAGCCAGGGGCTGTGGCACCCATGGCCTCATGAGATGCTCATCAATAAAGGAGAATTATTTGCAGCTCAGGGTTGAAATGAAGGATCCTTGGTGCTCTCTGAGCTTGGTGGTTTTCTTGCAGACGTTTCATGACCCAACTAGGGAACATCATCAGTGCTAGAAGGAGGACTGGGGGGTCCTTGGTACTCTGGAAGCTTGGTGGTGTTCTTGTTTCACGACCCAACTAGGGAACATCATCAGTGCTAGAAAGAGGACTGGGGGGTCCTTGGTACTCTCTGAGCTTGGTGGTTTTCTTGCAGACGTTTCACGACCCAACTAGGGAACATCATCAGTGCTAGAAGGAGGACTGTGGGGTCCTTGGTGCTCTCCGAGCTTGATGGTTTTCTCGCAGACGTTTCACGACCCAAACTAACATCCTCACTGCTAGTAAGGAATGAGGTTTACTCTCATTTTATATTCGACTGGCTTGCCCTGTCAGAGTTGCTGGGGGTGGCCTTGGGGGCTCTTTGGCTGTTTACTGTTAGCTTATTCAGCAGTTCCTTGATTGGGGTATTGTCCACTTCTGGATCGTCGGTCCGATGTTAATCCTGGAGTTCCTCTCTGCTCATCCGGGGTCGATGGCTGGTGGGGAAGGGTTTTGGCCTTTTTGTTTTGGCTTGCCGATGGTCTCTTTTGCACAAGCACGCAGGTGCTCATAAATGGGCTTCCCAGTGTGGAACATTTCCCGGAGAGCATCTCCACCAATTGTAGGAAGGCCTGGAAAAGCGAAAAGGGCAGATTCGGCCGGTGCGGATAGAAAAGAGTATTTGTAGCTCAGGGTTACACGGTGAGGACCTCTCAGGGCCCAACGAGGTAACGTCATCCGTGCTAGGAGGGAGTGGGCTTTGTGGAGAGGAGGAAGCGGGGGGGACCGTGGGGTCCCTGACACTCCCTGAGCTTGGTGGTTTTACAATAGTTTTGCCAAAACTCACCCCCCTCCCCAAAATTAAATCTATTCTTTGGCAAAACTGCACCCCAGAGAAGCCCTAGGAATTCTGGGAAGGTTGGGGAAGTCCCGTTTTTTTCAGCGAAGAATCAAATTTTATAGAAGATTTTATAGTCCTCGCTGTACGGCCAAAATTGAGCCCCAAACTAAGCCAGATAGTTGTTAAGTGAATTGTGCCCCATTTTACGACCTGCCTTGCCACGGTCATTAAGGGAATCACTGCAGTTGTTAAGTTAATAACACGATTGTTAAGCGAATCTGGCTTCTTCCCCCGTTGACTTTGCTTGTCGGAAGGTCGCAAAAGGGGATCACAGGACCCCGGGAACGCTGCGACCGTCATAAGTCATGAGTCAGTTGCCGAGCGTCTGGATTTTGATCATGTGGCCAGGGGGATGCACAACGGTCGCAAGTGTGAAAAACGCCCGTAAGTCACTTCTTCTCCGTGCCGTTGTCACTTTGAATGGTCACTAAATGAACTGCGGTAAGTCAAGGACTACTAAAATTGATTGAGTCCTCCCTCCCAAATCCCAGATTCCCTCTTCTACTTTGCCAGGGGCG